AGGACGACCACCACCACCACTACCACTAACACTAGGGGAAGCGTCGTCCTGAATACCACCAGGAGCAGCAACGGCAGCGAGGGGGACGGCGCCGTCGGCACGGCGGTGGACTCGGAGGACGAGTCGTGGACAGTGGCCGAGGGAAGAGCCGCGCGACGAAGAGCGAGGAGGGTGAGGGCGCGCCTCTCACCCGAGGAAGAGGCATCGGGCGCGGAGTCGCGCGCTGCGCCCAGTCCGCCGCCCCTCACGGTGGCAAATTATCCCCCCTTATGGGGGGGTCGTGACGAGGAGCGCGGAGAGCGGAAGGACACTGCCGGCGGGACCCGCGGAGGTAGCAGCGCGTCCGGAAGGTGCTGGTGAGTCTGTCGCCGTTCCCACGTGTGCTCCACAATATGTCCGCGGGGTTATGGGTCGACGGGGAACGCGCGCGTACGTCGTCAAGGCGCGTCCGGGGAGGGCGGGGACGTCGGCGGCACCAGTGAGTAGGGCGAGAAGCGGCGCGCGTCCGCCCGCACTCCCGCGGAGTCCGCCGGCCGCGGCGAGAGGTGAGCCGGTAGCGGTGCCTGTCGCGCTCACGGCGCGGCAGAAGACTGCCGAGAGGCGACGTCTCGTCGCAACGGCGGACTCGACGGGTACGCTCGCCGACCTCGAGCGCCTGACGATGCAAGTCGTCGGGTTCTTCGGAAGACGCGAGCAGGGCGGTGGCGCGCCGCGTCCTCGTGGCCGCTCGGTACGGTCGCGAGAGGCCGGCGATGACGCGCGGAGGGCGGAGAGGGCGGGAGACGGCGCCAATCGCGGGGGGGCGCCCGCACCGGCGGAGCGCCCCCTATTCGGTGGAGAATCTCGCGCGGACACGGGACGCGAAGCAGCACGCTTGCAAGCGCTCTTCAGGAAGAACCGCCGCAAAGCGGTCCGAGAAGTTCTGTCCGGCCCCGCGGACACGTGCGACGTGTCCACGCAGCGGGTGTCTGACTACTTCAGACGACTATACTGCGGCGCGGGAAACCTGGACGGCGCGGCGCCTGCGGAGCTGCCCGAGGCCTCGGGCGATGACGAGCAGGAGGCTGGGCTGATTCGGCCGATCACGGAGCGAGTGGTCGACCGGAGGCTCCGGCGCATGAATAATTCTGCGCCCGGACCTGATGGCCTGACCTACCGTGACCTCCGTGTCTCGGATCCGACGGCCCAGTTGCTTGCCGCGGTTTTCAACGCCTGCCTGCGGCTCGAGGCTGTCCCCGCGAGGTGGAAGACCTCCAACACGGTGCTAGTGTATAAAAAAGGAGACCGCGGCATGTTGGAGAATTGGCGTCCTCTCGCGCTCGGGGATACGATCCCAAAGCTCTTCGCGGCGGTGCTGGCCGATCGTCTAACCGACTGGGCGATCGCCGGCCGAAAACTAAGTCCGGCTCAGAAGGGATTTCTGAGAGAGGAGGGGTGCTACGAGCACAACTTCGTCCTGCAGGAGATCTTGACTGATGCTCGGAGGGACCGCGGGAAGATGGTAGTCGCGTGGCTGGACCTTTCCAACGCGTTTGGATCGGTACCCCACGAGACGATCCGCCGCGCCGTTGACCGAGCCGGCGTTCCGCGGAGCCTCATAGCGATATGGGGCTCCATGTACGATGGTTGCACCACGCGCGTGCGAAGCAGAGAAGGGTACACCACGCCCATTCCCATACGCTCGGGTGTACGCCAGGGATGTCCGCTGAGCCCGATAGTATTCGACCTCGCGATCGATTCGGTGCTGCGTGCGGTTACCGAAACCGGTCTCGGGGTCGAGCTACTGGGCTCGCGGTGGTCAGTGATGGCCTACGCAGATAACCTGGTACTGGTCTCCAGGATCCCGGGCGATATGGGAAGACTGCTTGCAGTCGCAGAGGGCGAAGCGTCGGCGATAGGGTTGCGGTTCAACCCTGCCAAATGTGCCACCCTGCACGTCGGTGCTGGGCGAGGCGGCAGGGTCCTGTCGACGGCCTTCGTCATCCAGGGCCAGACTGTAAAGTCCCTGGCGGAGGGCGAGGCCTATGAGCACCTCGGCATTCCGACGGGCTTCTCCGTCAACCAGACACCGCATGCTGCTATGTTGGCCTTGGGCGAAGACCTCCGTGCGGTTGACCGGTCGCTTCTTGCCCCGTGGCAGAAGTCGGAGGCCGTGGCGACGTTCCTGTTGCCACGACTCGACTTCTTGTTTCGGGGGGCCAGAGTAGAGAAACGTCCTTTCATAGCCTTAGACCTGCAGATCCGCAGGTTAGTCAAAGGCTGGCTGAACCTCCCTCAGCGCGCCGGCGCGGAGGTGGTCTACCTCCCTCCCAGCAGGGGGGGGATATGGACTGCTTCCGCTCGCCGACCTCGCCGACGTCCTCTCGATCGCCCACGTCTTCCGTCTTTTGACGGCGGACGACCGGGCGGTCAGGGACCTGGCCTGGGCGTCGCTGCGGGCAGTGGTTGGCCGCCGGATAGGCACCCACCCGACGCGCGGTGACGTCGCCGCCTTCCTCTCGAACTCGCTCGAGGGGAGGCTAAAAGTGGGCGGGGAGTCCTCGCTCTGGTCGAGCGCCCGTAATGTCGCGCGGAGACAATCCGAGCGCTTGGCTATTCGGTGGCTGTGGTGCGAGGAGCGTGAGGAGTTTGTCCTCCAATGCCGCGGGCCACGCGGCAGGATCACCAAGATCCCACATGGGACTCGTGCCCAGGTGATCGGGCGCCTGCGAGCGGCGGTGGCGGAGTGGTACGCCTTCACATGGATCTCAAAACCAGATCAGGGGAAGCTGTTCGAGGTCTCGTCGCGCGCACGAGCAATCACTTCATGCGTGGCGGCAGCTTCACCCGCTCTGCCGATTGGCGCTTTGTCCACCGGGCCCGCCTTGACGTGCTCCCCTTGAATGGAGCGCGCAGATGGGGGGAGGGTGACAGGCGTTGCCGGCGATGTGGAGAAGTGGCCGAGACCCTTCCTCATGTGATATGTCACTGCGGGCCACATTCTGCTGCCGTCCAGTGGCGTCACGACTCGATCTTGCTGCGACTCAGGAAGGCCTGTCGTCTGCCGGGAACTATCACGGTGAACCAGCGGGTCAGGGGCCTTGAGGGGGAACTCGGGGAGCTACGACCTGACCTCGTGGTCAGGTACGAGCCCTCGAAGAGCGTCGTCATATGCGACGTCACGGTTCCCTTCGAAAACCGTTGGGCTGCGTTCGATGAAGCCAGGGCGAGAAAGGTTGCGAAATACTCGCCCATGGCTGAGGCGCTCCAGCGGCGGGGATACCGGGTCGTCGTGACGGCCTTCGTCGTCGGAGCCCTTGGCTCGTGGGACCCGAGAAATGAGCCGGTGCTGAAGCTCCTGCGCGTAAGCAGGAGGCAGGTGCACATTTCCCTATTAGATTCAAGTATTAGTTTTCGGCCGGCCACGTGCACCGGCCATGCTACCTGCCCTCGCTCACGTGCGCGCTTCCGCCGTTGTTCACGTGATCGGCTGAGGGCCGACGTCTCAGCCAATCACAAGTGTATCTTCACGCTGTGTCCTTCACACGTTAGCGTGTCTCTGTTTTGTTTCGCACAAATGTTTCTTTTGCGTGTAATAAGATTCTGTGTTCTTTGTTAGCTTGTAATAAACTCTGACGATGTGTTCGTGCTGAAACGAAAAGGGCGAATCTAGCGTATTACCAGGACCTGAGCTCCCTCCTGTCCACAGAGCTTTTTCCCGATCTTTCTTAATTTATTATTGTTGTGGCTGTGGTCGAGTAGAGTGGTTACATGCGAGTGCACCTTCTGACATCTAAAGTAACACACCCTCCACGACGTCCGCAGGAGCCACATATGTGTCATCGTGAATACGCCGTCGTGATTTTCCGCTAATATTTAAGCAGATTAATTTTTGTAGTACTTAATGTTGTTACAGCATCATTGGTAAGAGAGAGAGAGATTTAGTTTTTTCGTCGGAGTAAAGTGCGAGTTATAACGCATTAACGACAGTGCAATAGGATCATCGCGAGACGCACGACTATATATTGTACATACATTCAAATCATGATATTATGATCGATTTATGATTCGTTGAAAACTTCTTATTCCGGAACACGATGTATTTTGTAGATGCAAGTCTGTAAGTTAGCCTTACGTGTAATAGTAGACATCTCTGAGTTGGCTTAAAAATCGTCGGATAGTGTTACGAGTGTATCGTGATATTTGTAAGATGCGAGATGTTCCCCCTCTCCTTCTCCCTTCCCCCTAGCATGCGCAGAAGCGTAAGACGCTCAAAACGTATCATATGTTCAACTCGCGATTCATAGTAACAACAATAATTATTATTATTATAATTGTGTGTATATATATATGAGAAACAAACGCATATAATGCCATTTGTTGTAAAGTGATCTCTATATCTATTATAGGAGGACTATATACACATTTAGCTGCAAAAAGATCACATCGTAAAAAGTGTATAAGATATGTCAATATAATTTTAGCGATTTTATCAAGCGATAAATCATAATCTCGTGTAAAGGTTCATAATTCCTACCACTAATTAAAATACGTCCACATTCCTCGTTGCAAATATGTGCATAATAACTGCAGATGTATGAATTCACTGTCTAAGCGTCGTAAGTATAGGAAAAAATAGAAAATTTTATTCAAAAGGCCTCATACCTGCTTGTAAGCAGAGAGTCTGCGGTGAGACGCTGACAGCCACCGTTGACTATTTTGTTACCTCGTGCATCTCCTCTCCTCTGGCCATCTCTAGGCTGGTGCTGTGCAGCGGTGTCAGCAAGGCAGAGAGTTTGCAAGAGCTTTCTGCTATTTGCAAACACTTTTGATAATTAATTATTACAACTAAGCATACCTGCCTGCCCTCTTAACCTCAAAGTGTCACACTGTCTGGTGTGACATATTGCTGTGTTTCTGAGTATTAGGAGTGGCTGCACAGATGCTTCCGGTGGCTTCCTTCCGGTGTTTCCGCCGAACACCCGCGGTGTGATCGTGGCGACGGCGGGCGGGTCGCCACCATGCCCGTCCGCCTTTACGCCCGTGAGCTGCGCGCCGGCCGCCCTAACGACCGCAACGGTGGTGACAGCGGCGGCGCGGAGCCCCATGATTCCACGGGGCTCCCGGGCGCGCGCGGGGGGCATTTTTCGCCCCCCGTGACGCGCTTCACGCCGCCGGCGCACACGTCGCCACCGGTCGCGGTGATCGCCGCGGGGCCGCGGTACACGCCTGCGGGATCGCCCGGAGCGACCGCCACCAGGCCCCGGGCAACAACGAGCGCCCTCCGCGAAGAGGAGGTCCCGGCCAGGAGGGCGTTCAGGCCGCGCCTGCCGCAGAGGACAACCACCACCACCACCACCAGCGGGGGCGTCGTCAGACGAAACATCAGGAGCAACGGCAGCGAGGGGGACGGCACCGTTGGCGGCGGCACGGCGGCGGAACCGGAGGACGATAGTGACGAATCGTGGACAGTGGCCGAAGGAAGGGCCGCGCGGAGAAGAGCGAGGAGGGTGAGGGCGCGCCTCTCATCTGATGAGGAGGCATCGGGCATGAAGTCGCGCGCTGCGCCCAGTCCGCTGCCCCTCACGGCGGTGAATTATCCCCCCTTACGGGGGTTCGTGACGAGGAGCACGGTGAGCGGAGGGACACCACCGGCGGGACCGGCGGAGGTTGCAGCGCGTCCGGAAGGTATTGGTGAGTGCGTCGCCGTTCCCACGTGTGCTCTGGTAAGTGTCCGCGGTGTTATGGGTCAGCGGGGAACACGCGCGCCCGTCGTCGAGGCGCGTCCGGGGAGGGCGGGGGCGTCTGCGGTACCAGCGACTACGGCGAGGGGCGGCGCGCGTCCGCCCGCACTCCCGCGGAGTCCGCCGGCCGCGGCGAGAGGTGAGCTAGTGGCGGCGCCTGTCGCGCTCACGGCGCGGCAGAAAGTTGCCGAGAGGCGACGTCTCGTCGCGGCTGCGGACTCGGCGGGTACGCTCGCCGACCTCGAGCGCCTGATGACGCAAGTCGTCGGGTTCTTCGGGGAACGCGAGCAGGGCGGCGGCGCGCCGCGTCCTCGTGGCCGCTCGGTACGGTCGCGAGAGGCCGGAGATAACGCGCGGAGAGCGGGGGGAGTGGGGGACGGCGCCAATAGCGAGGGGGGATCCGCACCGGCGGAGCCCCCCATGTTCGGTGGAGAAACTCGCGCGGATGCGGGACGCGAAGCAGCGCGCTTGCAAGCGCTGTTCAAGAAGAACCGCCGCAAAGCGATCAGAGAAGTCTTGTCCGGCCCCGCGGAGGTATGCGACGTGTCCACACAGCGGGTGTCTGACTACTTCAGACGATTATACTGCGGCGCGGGAAACCTGAGTGGCGCGGCGCCTGCGGAGCTGCCCGAGACCTCGGGCGATGGCGAGCAGGCGGCTGAGTTAATTCGGCCGATCACGGAGCGAGAGGTCGACCGAAGGCTCCGGCGTGTGAATAACTCTGCGCCCGAACTAGATGGTCTCACCTACTGTGACCTCCGTCTCTCGGATCCGACGGCTCAGCTGCTCGCCGCAGTGTTCAACGCCTGCCTGCGGCTCGAGGCTGTCCCCGCGAGTTGGAAGATCCCCAACACTTCTTGTGTACAAAAAAAAAGATCGGGATATGTTGGAAAATTGGCGTCCTCTCGCGCTCGGGGATACCATTCCCAAGCTCTTCGCGGCAGTGCTGGCCGATCGTTTGACCGACTGGGCGATCGCCGGCCGAAAGCTAAGTCCGCCTCAGAAGGGGTTTCTGAGGGACGAGGGATGCTACGAGCACAACTTCGTCCTGCAGGAGATCCTGACTGATGCTCGGAGGGACCGCAGGGAAGTGGTAGTCGCGTGGCTGGACTTTGTAGTCTTGCTTTGTAGTCTTGCCGCGTGGCCCTCAGTCAGGAGCGTAGCCCTGCCCACAGCGCCCCTAGCCGGAGAGGTGTGACCGGACGGGATGACCCACGTCTGGTCATAGAGGTGACACGGGCCGGGGAGGAATAACATCCCTTTCGGCCCGGGAAGGGGCGAGGTTTAGGTTCTCCCCGCCCTGCGGCTGAGGGTGTCTCGGAAGTAATGCGCAAGCGGTTCCCTGGACGCCCTCGCAATAGCCGCAAGGGGCCCGGCAGAGGTTTTAGTGGGTAGCCCCCCCCCCCCGGACGGTTAGTTCCGGGAAGGGGAGTGTCCCACACTACCCCTGGAAAAGTCCCGTATTTCCCGGGGGTGTGCGTAAAGCATTTCCTCTGCCTAAACAAAAAAAGGTATAAGCTATGTAAGCTTGCCAAGGCGACAGAAATTGGCTACGTACGATTACAACATAGAAAGTAGCTACCGGCCAACTTGCACGATCGCAAGACTGGCTGAATGTCTTTGACCGAGACACCAGCTTACACCTCCCGGTGGTGGGGCTGGAAGATAAATGTGGTAATCCGGGATTGGCAAGAGGACTCAATGAAGACAATCACGTTTGGGGTCCGAGTTGGGAGCATCTTGGAGAGCAAGGTATTCCTCACTGTTCAGGGGTAGTAGTAAGCCCGTACCTGAAGGTAGTAACCGTGACTATCTCCTCAGAAGGTCGGTGACGTCCTGGGAAAAAATCCAGGAAAACTTAGGGCGGAGTGCAGCCTTTGTGGATGCAAGCTTGCACTCCGAGGACAGACGTGGCGAAACCGGAAGCGTTGGCCTAGGCGAAAATGGCTTTAAGCGTGGAGGAAGCGGTCGTACCACGAGAAGGGTAGAGGACACCTCCCCCGACCGAAGACAACGCGCCACCTTCCAGTGGAGGGGTGGCCAACAGGTAAAGAAAACGGGCCGGAAGATTGCAATCCCGGAGCCAGGTTGTGTAAGGGCTACAGTGTCAGTCAGGAAGTCAATCCGCACTATCAGCGCGCGTCTCACTGGTCTTTTTAGCAACTTTCACTAATTTTCACTATGGCAGAGGGTCGCCCGGAGGTCGTGGTGATCCCGCAGCCGGTGCCCGAGCGCATTACGTGCCCGCGGTGCTAGGCGGGATATCGCGGCGAACTGCAGAAGGGGGACAAGAGTTCGTTCAGCGACGGACTGCATTTAGCTAGACATCAAAAAACGTTCCACCCGGGCGATACTATTACTAGATTCAGAAGCCAATTTTCCTTTGTTATCATAGGGATGAGGGCTTCCCATTATCACAAAAACTTTTAATTCCTTATCCAGGACCTCAATGTAGTGGCAGAATAAATAGAAGAATATTTAATTATAGGTGTTCGGGATTCGAACGGAAGGAATGGTTCTCGTCGTCACGAAAACCACTCGGTTCGAGGTATCTGCGAGAGGACGGTCATCGATGATTACAATCGGTCATAACATCGACTTCGTTTGTCCTCTCGCGCGCGCGCCGGTGGCACGCGGGGATCACGTGCGGCCTTGTCGCGTGGCCAGCGAGCCGCTGGCTAGCAACGTGAGGCAGTTGCTATGACAACGAGAGGCCAAACACCGATTCCGTGAATCGGCGGGCGGCACGTGCCGCGGGACTCTCGCAAGCCTAGATGAAAAAAAGCCTCATCCTCACGGTAGACTCGCGCTAGGCGCGAGTCTTCACGTTTTTCTCCCTCTTGTGGTCTAATCCGCGCGCTCCAGAGCTTATTCCAGAGAGATTATAAATATGACCGCATACATCGGTCGTAAGCCTTTTCTCGAGTTCGCTTTCGCCGTGCACGTCGTCGCAGCCTCGCGCGGAACGTGCGCTCCAACCACCGTTTTTCGCGGTCGCGGTCAAGTGCGCGCTATCAGTCTGAGTCGCTCATTGTCAAGTTCGGCGGAACTCTTCCCTCGCCGATTTCGGAGTCGCTCATTGTCAAGTTCAGCGCGAAAACTCTTCCCGCGCCGAGTTCGGAGTCACCAAAACTATTTCGCGGTCGCCGGTCTCTCAGGTTCGGGTCGTCGCGGAGCCTACTTCGCGAGATCTATCGAAGACGCGTATCGTCCAGTTTAGTGGATCGGTAACCGCCTGTTGGGAATTCACTGTTTCTTGTTGCGAAACGTTCGGCGACTCGCCGTCGCCTCGATCTCCGGAGTGCTCAGGTCGCGACGCTCGACGAGACATTCGTCGCTCCCGCTTCCTGTCCGTCCGCGGTGTGACCCAACACGGCTGTGCGCGCGGAGGACGAGATCCATCAGAGACGTGCATCGTCCGGGTTCGTGGACCGGTTCATGCTCGTCGGGAATTCATTGTTCCTTGATGCGAAACGTTCGGCGACTTGCCGTCGCCTCGATCTCGGGAGTGCTCCGCTCGCGACGTTCGACGAGACGTTCGTCGCTCCCTCATCCTTTCCGTCCGCGGTGCGATCCAACACGGCTGTTCGCGCGGAGGATTCTCGCTGGAGAGCTTCGTCGCGATTTTCCTTGCGACGCAATAAGGGTGCTGGCTCGCCCTCATCCTTGAGCACGGCGACGCTCCGCTGGGTTGGACTCAGGAGGCAACGCGATTCGATCGGGAGGTTCGCATCTCCTCGCGTTCGTGCGTGCTCCATATCGGAGCGCTCGTAGCTCGCGGGCGTCGGACGCGCGAGCCGACGGCACTCGCTTCGGCATCAATGTGAAAATCGTTGTACTTGTGAATTTTACATGTTGTAAACCGAAATCCTGCTCGCGCTCGCGTGTTTGAGTCTGAGGCCTCGCGAAGCAAGATTTCCGGCGAGTTCTTCAAGATCTCCGTCGCTTGAGTATTAACCTGATATTCGTCAGGATTTCCGTCGCGCTCCGAACGGCCTCTCGCTCAGGACTCGCTCAAGATTTCCGTTCTCCGTTTGTCGCAGGATTCGATTATATCAGGAAACTCTGTGCTTAATAAATCTGTGTAGTTTTGTGTATCACGACTGAAGCCTATTCTCCACCCCGTCTCCACTCCCACGCATGACGCCCGTGCCTCTCTCAAGGCAGTTGCCGGCGCTTTTCGTGTCGGCTCTCGGCCAAACGCGGTCGAGCCCGATACAATAGGTATGTGAAATGTTTGTAACATCATTAATCGTCAGAAGATAGAGCTATGTTAAAACATTTCTTTATTTTTGTATATAGATTTTGTATTATAGATTATCTAGAGCTCGCCGTTGTTCGGAAAATTTTTTTGGCATAATGGTTGCTTGTTTTCAAATTTTTTGTTCTCCAATGCGATATGACCCTGACGACGCCTGCAAGATTATCTTAGCAATATGTTGCTTGCACGTGTTGCAAAGTCAGTCTATTGGGCGAGCAATGTATACACCATCATTCTTAGATGAAGAGGATGAAATGTCAGGTGAAATTCATAGTAAAGATTGGAGAGCAGAAAATGCACGAGGCATAAATTTGTGGCAACCATCATGCAAATCAAGCAATCGCACTTAGAGAGGTGGTGTCAATATTTTAATATTGCTGGTGCAGTTCCCTGGCAAGAGAAAATAATACAATAACAAAAGAAACAAAATTTATTTCATCGTCTTGTCATTATAAATGTTACGTCCTGTGCAGACATGAGTCATGCACTCTATCTTTGCCTCCTCTGTCAGGAAACAACAAACTATTCCGAATCGTAAGACCGTTTTTTTTGTCCATCTCCAATAAAAATTCCGACTAAAAATCCGAAATAACCCTGGGAAATACAGCACTAAAACTCCTTAATCCGCAAAGTAAACTTCACCGGACCTTATCCTTGGGATCAAAGAAACCGCTGGATAACAAAAAATTATGTCCGTTACATTTTCCAACTTACGTTATTCGGTTCCGCCTCATCTGCTGATTCCCTCACTACCTTAAAAACCCTCCAATAACCTTCTCTTTTGAAACGTATGATTTTCTCCACCCACAACCCCAGCCAAGAAGATTTCCTTAACACTGTCTACTTACTTACTACTGGATACAGCAGTCCCCCATACCATTTTCTCTGACGAATCCAACAACCTAGGAACCCCCAAATTTCCACATCTTCCCTACCAAACCATTTCCAGTTGATATCGTATATAACCGCGACTCCGCGCACCGCGGGTCTCTTCTCTTGCACTTCTCTTGGACTTCACGTCTCTTCTCTTGCACCCTTACGCTCTTGGACTTCTCTTACTCTTGTACTTCTACTGAGGAAAAATCCAAGTACCCTACGAGTTCAGCTACTCAACTCTCTGTGCTTATTGCTGTATTCATCGTGCGATCGTCCGCAACCCTCACACAC